ATGAATCACATTATTGAAAGGGTATAAATGTGTGATTGACCTTTTTTTTTTTTTTTTTAAATATCATGGATTCATGACGGTTTTGTTGCGCACGCCGTTGATCGAGTTTTCGTTAAATGGAATTGTACGTGTCTGCACTGCAAAAGGTGTGAACATCGTAACAGCGCACAGTAAGGTGATTTGGGAAAGACCCGGAAAACGAGGCGAAGTTAATGATTTTCACACCGAGGGAATTAAGATTTCGTTAACGCGACGACTTTATTAGAAGCTGAAGAACACAAACTAATCAGTGAGTATTGTGCGTGAAATAACAGACATCGCTGTCTAGCGGTTACCATGATGTGTCATCAGCTTAAGATCGGCAGACAAAATTGACTGGGAAATGACATTGTACAATCGCATGTTGACATCGCTGTTTATGCTTGATGATCGTGTGATGACTTGTGAACTCAGACAGGCTGTCGGAATACATCAATGACCTCTAGGAGGCGCCCTCTATCGCCATTGCTATATATTTGCGGCGTGTCTGCAGTTGATCGTGTCCTACACCAGCGTCATTATGAAATATTTCCGCCTACGCATATGCGAGTTTAATTCATTCTATTAACTGAATGTGACTCAAGTATATTTCTACAATGTGAATATCATGGGCGTTGGTAGGATTTTTTTTTTGGGGGGGGGGTGGGGAAATCACATTTTCCCCAAATCCTTGTACTTTCTCCAACATATTCCCATTTTTTCTAGCCTGGGGGACATTTGCCTACCCCAGCTCCACTGACACTCTTTTTTTCCCTTTTTTTTTTTTTTTTTTTTTTTTTGCTTTTCCAGAGGGAGAATCCCCCCCTTTGCCTCACCCTCACGCAACGCCCACACTGCAAAAACTGTGTTTAGCAATTAAACACTTCTTGCTATCAGTTTGTAACTTTGTTGAAATACTAAACGTATTTAGGGTGGATAGTGTTTAGTAAATGAACATTTCTGTTAAGTAATTGAACACATTATGCTTGGCTTCTTAACATGTTAACAAAGTGACATCAAGATTTTGTTTAATTGCTAAACACAGTTTTTAGGGTGCATGTGCATATTCTTCAGCTTGTCACATAAAACTCTCGTATTCCGTCTTTCGGGTATACAGAAAGGCCTGTCTCGCATGCCGTGTATCCATCAGTAATACATGTTCATACATGCAGTGTATTGTTACACTGTTTCATCGCAAGAGCTTGAAGAGACAACGACCGATAGTGCACTGTAATCCAATCCACTTCAACTTAAAAGTGGTGAAAATATTGCCCCGCAAATTGTGTCCGACAGGGATGCTTAGTGACCTAAGTACCCCGACTTTTTAAGAGATAAAATCGGACATATTGCACTGAAATTTTGTTAATGGATCGTTTACAATTACGCTCAGTGGCATGAGAGAGAGAGAGCATTTTGATTTTACTGGCGTCACCAATGGCTTCCGAGAAAATTAGGTTGATTATTTCGAGAGAAAAATGGTAGCAATACACGCTTGAAATGGTCTTTCCAAATTTCCCTCGAGTCCAACTGGGCAAGTTAGATGGATGCAACTGGGGAAAAAACAGTCGTAACTTCACCAGGATTATTGACCGGCAAACTGACGTTAAAGTGGCACTAGGTCCTGAAATCCCCGAAAACGTCATGTTTTGGATTGTTTACCTATCCTATTTCAAACATGTGGTTGAAAGGAAACCAACCTAATGTCTTACTGTTCCCGAGAAAAGACGAAAAAAAAAACACGCTGCTAACGTCATCCCCGCGCGTCGACTCTTTCAACTTCGTTTGATATTCTACTGGAGAATGTCTACTGCACTGGGGACGAGGACAGTCTGGTTGATTGTGAAATATGGCAGCCGTCCGGGGAGTTCTGTTCTGGTTATAAAGGCCTGGACTGTAGTGAAGTCGAAGGCAAGAAAATAAGCCATTTGTAGTTCCACGGTGGGAACAATGTAGGCACAAAACTCGATAGAAACTCTTCGTGGGGCCTGAACTTCCGCGGTTGTTCCTGTGCGGTTTCCGCGTTCAAGCAAGACGTCGTCCATCAGCCATTGGCAGACGCTAACCTAATTTGTTGGGGTATGGATGAGTCGATACACACTTCTTTGGTTGAGGGCTGTGTTTACCGTGACTGTTTATTCAACAACAATATTTTAATGAGAACCGGGTGATCTGACTGTATGAATGGAATGAATTGCACTGACTCCATGATTGAATTATAGAGTGAAAGAGCTGAATGAGGAACTGGTTACGGGGCAGTACTTATATACTGTGGGAACAGGATGTCTTAGAAATTAGAAATTCTTAAGAAAGGAGAAACTTAGTCATGTTTTCTAACAAATAAGGCGACTATAGATGAGTAATAACACCTTCAAACAATGGTGCCCTAACTTGGCTGTACTGAGAAATGACCAGTGACTTATGTGTGGGCAGTGAAGGTCATTTGCTCTGTATAAAACAACGGACTACACACTGCATAGGCATTTATGTTTACTAGGAAAACTATGAGTAATGCATTACAATCAGGAGGATTAATCATTATACAGGCATGATCATTTAAACAAGTTCAAAAGGAACATTTAACTAAATGATGATTAACTAAGAATTAAGACGAATTGACAATTAAGAACTGATAATCTGAAAACGCTACAGTATAAACTGCACAGAAAGGGTGGTGTCAATAATTTGTTAAAGGCGCCTCTCGTTAAATCTCGTTGATTTAATATATGTTTTTACATTTGGAGACTTTTCAGACGCTGGGTGGCAGCAACCACACTGTTCTAATTAGCCAGTTCGGTATTCCAAAATAGTCTGGTGCGCAGCAAGATTCGACGAGTTTTTCCGGGATAACCGCGGCAGATAAATGCACACAAGGCTATGGGGGATGTGGTAACAGAATCTGTGCAATTGTTCGTGCAATCGAAAAGAGATGGAACTTTCGTTCGCACAAATGTTTTGACACGTAAAAACACCTCTCTGTCCAAAAGGTTTTTGTAAAATGTTATACTTCAGAACACGATGATTTCTTAAATTTTGCTGGTACCCCGCTATACTTTGGCACGCATACGTTGTTCCAATTCAAACAAAAAGTCACTTATCATAGTCACTTAATCTCTTATGTCCGCCCACTCTACATTTCAATCGGACGTAACCGGCAAAGACTCAGTCATGCTTACAACACATACTAAGCCATACAAGTCACCAGAGAAGAAGTGTCACTGAATGGGATAGTGCCATCCCTTTTCCAAACTTCTATGTAATACTCCTTGCCCCACCCCGGGGTATTGTGGGTCGATGGCCATCAAAAACTGCCCGAGAATACCGTCTTGATTAACAAGCGAGGTATCTTCAGGTTGCTTCTATCTCTGTTTTTCAGTACTTCAAGTACATCCACAGACTTGTAACAATCAGTCTGCCACACACGAGACACAATATCTCACTGTTCCACCACATGTACACCCCAATTCGGAAAACCAACAACCATATTTCCGCATACGGAAAACATTATCTATATTTGTTATAACAACAAAAAAACGCTATGCTAGCAGAAGCATAAGCACTTGATAAATGGACATACAAATTATCCGCAGACGGATAAACTATACCCATTTTACACCAAACAACACAAAACAAGACAAAAACCCACAAACTTAACCCCAAAACAAAGGGTTCAAAACAGTATTGGCCTCCCCCAAAAAATATAAATCAATCTCAACATTGAATGGTACAAACAAAATAAACAACCCACATTTGGGAAAGAAAAAGTACCATCTCCACATAAATATGCATTCGTATTAACAAAATCAAGAAAAAAACAACGAAACACAACGTGTTTTTCCGATACCGCACACGGTAGGAAGATAGTTTCTTACTCAAACAACTACCAAATGAAAGAGATTAACAATATCTAAAAGCCTACACAAGTTTCAACTATTTTCTGACAAAGAAAATAATCAAAATACGGCTTTTAAAACTAAAAACAAACACACTACTGGCCAGAAATTCCACTACGAATCCAAAACCCTCGCAAGGTTTTCCGCGCCACTGCACCCACACGCCCATTGGACAATACAGTGACCAATCACAACACACATATGGTACCATTCACTACCGCCACGGCTCAATGCGCCATCTCACGCACGCAATACGTGCATACAAACCCTGAGAGAAAACCAACGAACCATCACTTCTCGGTCTCTTACTAACACAACCTCTCAAAAGAGAAATATCCATCATTCTGCCATTGTTATAATAAATAAATTGGAATATAACCCACCCCATCTTACCTTATTCGTTATATTCAAACCACAAACCCCTCAACTACCATGGCAAGAAGGAAACTCAACCAAGAAACCAAGAGACCAATAAATAAATCTAACCACTTCTCTCACAAATGCAATCGTAAACCAAACGAGCCAACTCCAATCATTTGCGCTCATTAGCAGAACAAAATATCAATCCTTCATAACCAACCTATCCAAAGCAAAACCATCGCAAACCGAAATATTTGCTTGTTGGACAAGGCCTCAACATCTTACCTACTTCTGCTAAACCAAGCCGCAATCACTCGTAAGCAGCATCAATAATTATTTGGAGTGAAGACTACAATTTACATTAATAATGCGTAACATACGCTCTATAAACCATCCTTTCAACCACCAATTGGCATCCGAAATCATATTCTAGTGAAACGCTAGAAAATACCCGGAAGCCACTAATTTTAAACTTGCCCACAGGTTTAACACATACAATCTTAGGATGAAGAAAAATCAAAACAAACTCCACCTGTCTTCACCACGACATACAACCTAACCATAACACACCGTCACTTAAATCGAGCAATAAACAACCATCACTGGAACATAATCCAAGGCAACAAACTACTGTGCGGAAACATTTCCCGAATCATAATTCGTTGCCTTCAGAAAAGCCTTAAATCATATCCGGGAGTAACTACCCAAACAAAATCAAGAGTTAAACCCACACCCGACCTACTCCGGCTCTTCCAAAAAACTAACCGAACCCGATTGCTCTCCTCACTAGAGGAACAAGTTGAAACCAACTAAAGTCACATGGTTGTAACCACAACACTTCAAACTTACGATACATGATTGGAATACAACCAATCCCAACCACAACTTTTCCGCGAGTCAGCCTCGATTCTTTTTTGAATCACCTATTTGCAACTGAAGAGTGCCCAACAGCAAGGCACGAAAGCATGCTATTGCTAACAAGAGGATTTGCGAACATAATCCTCTGCTCGCACCTTTAATCACATTTGATTACCCAACCTATCATAGTCACTTAATCTCTTATGTCCGCCCACTCTACATTTCAATCGGACGTAACCGGCAAAGACTCAGTCATGCTTACAACACATACTAAGCCATACAAGTCACCAGAGAAGAAGTGTCACTGAATGGGATAGTGCCATCCCTTTTCCAAACGTCATTTGCTCTGTATAAAACAACGGACTACACACTGCATAGGCATTTATGTTTACTAGGAAAACTATGAGTAATGCATTACAATCAGGAGGATTAATCATTATACAGGCATGATCATTTAAACAAGTTCAAAAGGAACATTTAACTAAATGATGATTAACTAAGAATTAAGACGAATTGATAATTAAGAACTGATAATCTGAAAACGCTACAGTATAAACTGCAAAGAAAGGGTGGTGTCAATAATTTGTTAGGGGCGCCTCTCGTTGAATCTCGTTGATTTAATATATGTTTTTACATTTGGAGACTTTTCAGACGCTTGGTGGCAGCAACCACACTGTTCCAATAAGCCAGTTCGGTATACCAAAATAGTCTGGTGCGCAGCAAGATTCGACGAGTTTTTTTCCGGGGTAACCTTGGCAGATAAATGCACACAAGGCTATGGGGGATGGTAACCGAATCTGTGCAATTTTTCGTGCAATCGAAAAGAGATGGAACTTTCGTTCGCACAAAGGTTTTGACACATAAGACACGTAAAAACACCTCCCTGTCCAAAAGGTTTTTGTAAAATGTTATACTTCAGAACACGATGATTTCCTAAATTTTGCTGGTACCCCGCTATACTTTGGCACGCATACGATGAAATTTTTATCCCAAAAGAAAAATCGGCAAATTTGAATGTGCACATGCGCAGTTGGAATACCGAACTGGCTGATTCAGTTCATTTCAATTAAAAAAAAACCCGGTATGTTAGCTCCCACCAAATTTCTCTAAAGCGATAATGTGATATGTGATAATTAAGCCTACATTCTGTTGTTTTGTTTTTCCTCGGGTCTACTTGAAGCTTATGGATATTCTGTAAAGTCCTGGGCCCGTTAACTTCTCAGTTTAAGCAGAAAATTAGCAGATTTAGCTAGGTCTACGTTGTTCCAATTCAAACAAAAACTGGTTCTCAGACTTTAGCTCTACATCTTGCTGTACGGCATCGTCGCAATCAAATCTGGTGTAATATCCGATAGCGAGGAACAACCTGATAGAGAAAGAAATGCAGAATGAATTCTCCAGATGTCTCCCCGGTCATCCGGTAAACTTCTACCTTTTATTCAGAGCTGTCTGCCTTAATCTAATTATTCGACGGTAATTGATTATTTGACGCTAATTGCCATATACTTTTACATAGTATCCGAATTAGTGGATTTTGGTTTTCTTTTTGCATATGAAATCAACTTATCAAAAGTAGCTGTTTTCTTTAGCAATTTTTTATCCAATTGTGTTTATTTGTATTTTATGTGTAAATTTGCCTGGATAAAGAATTTATATAGTACAATAAGATAAAATTGAAGTAATGAATTAAAATACTGTTACATGTTATTTACCATTCTGAACTTTCCTAAGCAAATTCTCTGTTTGGAACATTGGAAAAGAGAGTGTAGGCTGATATACAAAGTCCTACTGGCGGTGGAATTGACATTAAGACAAACAAATGATTCAAGACATTAATCGATATATAATTACCACATAGAGCCATGGCCCTGCTAAATTCCTCTTTGAGAATCCCCAGAACTTTTTCAACTCCTTTCTCACCCTGTGTATTTGGAAAAAAAATTGAATTGAAGTGAATTTAAAGTTCAAATTAGGTTTTGCCCTTCACCGACGGTGAAGGGCAAAACCTAATTTGATTTATATAACCCCGACGCAAAATTCCATCTTATAATAGAATTTAAAGTTGTTACCAATATTAACGTTTTATTCTGTATTAAAAGATCATACACTGCAAAAACTGGAGTGTTAAATTTACACCATTGGTATCTATATAGGACCATCTGGTGTTAAATGTTACTGGTGTTGTCCTATATAGATACCGAATGGTGTTAAATTAACACTACAGTTTTTGCAGTGTACGCTGTCTGTCTGTCTGTCTGATGTCTGTGTGTCACGTTTTTATAAAAGGCCTGAGGAGTGTGCGGAAGCACAAAATGCAAGGGTTCTTGAAGAGGCTTGGTTATATACAAATATCAACACTGCAAAAACTGCAGTGTTAAATTTACACGATTGGTTTCTATATAGGACCATTGGTGTTAAATGTTACTGGTGTTGTCCTATATAGATACCGAATGGTGTTAAATTAACACTACAGTTTTTGCAGTGAACGGTTCCTCTGATTATGTGGTCATCCAGTGTAGGCAGGTCCTGAATGGTAAATATAAATATGTTCCTGATTTCACTGTCCTGTGATGTCACGGTTGGCACGCGCAAAAATTATTTATTTTGTTTTGTTGTGCTTTCTTTTTTTGGGGGGGGTGGAAATTTGGGGGGTTTCTTTACAGATTTTGTACAATACTGCAACATTATCTCTGTGAAAACACTCCAAAACGTATCGTTGTTGCGCAAAACATAACGTGGACGATGAAAATATGCCAAAATTGCTTCACCAGGGTTTACCACGCCCACTTGGGGTCAAAATGCACATTGAGGTCAAAGAAATGGTTTTGTCTATAACCCTTTAACCATCGATCGGACGAATTCTTACGATATGAATATGCATGTTGAAACCTGACTGTATAATGTACATCTCAAAATGTGTCAATTGAGGGCGCACTGATCATTCGTAAGATTCACAGTAACGTTATCCGATAATAAATCCATCATGTTCATTGATAAATCTGTCAAGTTTTCGCTCAAAATTGTGGACTTTCTAACTTCCGGTTATCAATTGCAGGTTCTAATTGTAAAGGTAGGGTCGCTGTAGCTGATGTGTGTTGTTGTTTTTTCTCGAGAAATGAATATTCGGCAACTCACGTCGTAAGCGAGCCCCCAGATTGCCGGTCGGCCGATGAAGACGGCTCGTGCTCCCAGAGCAAGGGCCTTGAGGACATCGGTGCCTTTGCGTATTCCTCCGTCAACATACACCTCAACACTGGAGCCACGTACGGCGTTGACTATCTCAGCCAAAACATCGATCTGGTAGAGATAAAGTTTAACATTCATAAGCAACGGTAACAACACGAAACACACTTCGCTGGTAAGCATATGTCTCACCTGTATAAACGGAGCACGCGAACCAGCGTGGGACAAGCTCTCCCTCTAGACTGGTTTTCGCCTCTCCAATAATGTAATTATGGAGAGAGGGAAGCACACTTCCTTTTTGCTGAAGTTTTCATGGTGGGCATGCTTAAACATGACATCGCACGTTTACCGGAGATAAAGATAACGTGAGTGCACTTATTCAACCAAGTTGCATGCTACTTAAAAATTGTCTGCGATTTCAATCAATCTCAGATTTGTTTTGACAAAATAATATAGGAACCTTTTGACGGACAGTAGTCCTTGAACATAAAAGTAAAGCGACTGAGGTAAGCTTTCTGTTTGCTTATGGTTTCCTGATTTTTCATAATATTGATAATTTTAATAGTCCTGCACACTAATAATGTTCTTTACACCTCGTCTTCTCTTTACGCACAGCCCATACTGTTGCTATCATTCCAGGTAAACTGAAGAAACTGTATCCACTTGAAAGTACGATTCGGTCGTGTTTCTTGAGACACTTATACAGTATGGAGTGACTGATTATACTTACTGGAGCTGGTACCCCGTCCAGCTGCCGACCACCGTGGTTAGACACCAGGATACCAGCGGCACCGTGCCTCACAGCTTCTCTTGCATCTTCAGCTTTAAAGGTGAGAATAGATAAAATGCAAATCGCGAAAAGTAAGACAAATAAAGTAATTTGGAAGAAAGTTTCAACTTGGTACTTTGGGATTTCATGTATACCTATTCGGAGAAGCCTTATTATATTAGACTGTTTCCCTGCCTCCCCCTAAAGTTATGGGGACCGGTAAAAAGCTCCCATTTAAAGCCTTTGACTGGATCGCCTCTGCACGAGCACATCACGGTTGTATACTTTTGAATCGCTGTTCAATTCGGGAATTGACGCCGGTGATGGAACTCACGATCATCAAGAAACTCACGCTAGTCTTACCACAACAAATCCCCAATTTCTCCATGAAAGCAACTTATCAATCCTTTCAACTGCATAGGTTGTATATAATTGAACAGCAATATTTCTGTCTTTATTGATATTTTGTCGGAGATGCTTTCAAATTCTGCAAAAATTGAAGCTCATTCCCTCCAAAATTGCAAATTCGTGGCCAGGCCTTTGGCCGTTTTGCAACAGGCTGGCTCGGCGCGCGAAAACATTACCGTTGTGATTCGAGGCGAGGTGGGTTCCAGACCCACGCACGTCATGCATATATATGATTAACATACATAATCGGGAATTCCGGGCAATGCATGCCAGATTCACTGCTGGCTACACGACCCCATTTTTGAGGTCGAAAACACAGTGGGGTCAGGGAACCAGACTAGCGAAGCCTGTGGAAAATATCATAAGTTTCCAGGCATTCGTTAAATCATCACTGTATAGATGCATGATGTTGTTGTAAAATCCAATGTGCATATATCTCTCGATTTCATCAAACTGCTAGGCAGACTCTCTGTTCAACAACTTTGAGTTGAAGATGTATGAGTAAATTTACCTAATGCTTATACAGCCTGTTTGGCTCGTACTCTATTTTTGACTGATACAAATTTTGTTGTACTGAGTCCATTGATCGATTGACCTGGTAATCAGCCAAAATGCATCGTGTGCACGGGGTACATTCAGCGACTGGTTTTAAAATTCTTGTTGCAGATAATTATGCGGCTGTTTCATGATTTTGACCTCAAACTTTGCTCACCTGTTAGAATACCTTTCAGCACAACCGGAAGTGACGTAATTCCCGTCAGCCACAAGATGTCCTTCCACGTCACAGCTTTTGACTCGTTAACAATCGCTCGAGCCTTTTCGTGCGTCAACTCCTCTCCAGGAAGTAAAATATGCGGACAGCTTTGCACGGAAAATAAACAAAAATCATCAATCTTTGTGTGGTTAAGGTACCATTGAAAAATGCGTCAAACAACTGGGAAGGAAGTTCGGCAAAACAGATTTTTGTCATTAGTAACTTGTTTTTCCATGTTGTAGTTTTTTTTATAATTCTTTCTGTAAATGTAGATATAGACTGCTCCTTTAATCTTGCATGTATGTCTCCCCGGAGCACAGCCATTTCATTCTCAGGTGAAGAAACACAATAGCCTTTAGATTCCTATCCAGTTCATCTAGGGTTTTTGCAGGAGGGCCATAGTTAGTCAAATTAGATCTGTTGTTGTTATAGTGACTTCAGGAAATTAGTAAACCTCATACAGTGTAGAAGAGATTGCTAGGAATGTTATTGTTTCTTAAATGTTATATTTAAGCTTGGGCGTAATCCCACATCCCAGAACACTCACTAGACGCCGGAGGTGTAGGCCTGTCCGCCCGGTCACAATAGTTCGCCTTTATATTTTGATCGGAGCTGCGATATTTTGATGTCGTGATTTGTGCCAATTTAGGCACCTTTTACTTCGGTGTGAAGCCAGTGCTGTTTGCGTTTTCGGCTTTTGCCAAGATTTCTGCGTCAAATTCTGTGCCAGTTTTGGCACTCCTTTATGCCAGTTTGGGCATCCTGTGTGGAGGAAGAGTTGGACCAGGCGACGGGCGACGGCTAAGTGAACTGAGAAGAGACTAACTGTAAGCACGATTTATTTTATTTCAAATGTTCAGATTTACAGAGATTGATTGTGAAGTTTTGAATTGAATATTTGGATTACTTCTCTTTTGAGATTTGATTGGACGTGATTGTGTGAACGTGTAAATAATATTTTTTATGTGTTATTGTAAGTAAGATCATCCGAATGAGAAATTGAATTTGTTTGTTTATTATTTCGGCTAACTTTAATGCCTTTGATTTTGTGAGTGTTCCCTGTCCGGCCGAAATGGCGAGCACTGCCTTTAGCCGGGACAATTTTTATATAAGCCGAGTCATGTTTTTCACCAATTTCACATTTTAAACACTGCAGACTGACTCTCAGTCAATAATTAATTATATAGTATTTTTCATAATTTTAACCAGACCGATTTTTCTCTAGGTACCTTATGTGCACTCTCTTATGAAATTGGAATTGTTAAAACCTTCCCCATCAATTTACGTAATAGTCGGGTCCACATCTATGCTCCTTCTCAAGTGCATTCTGTTCCCCATCGTCGGTTGATCAACCGTTACCACTAGTGCCTTGTAGCATGCTGCCTCGGCCCGTCTGATCACCGCCTCCATTCTGCTTCTGTCGAACAGGAGGTTCAGGTGAAGCAGCAGTGGCGTGTCAGGGTGCACTGATGCAGCCACGTCCTCCAGACTCTTGTTGGACCACATACTGAGAACCATGGCAGACCCAGCATTTGATACACCTAGATAAGACAAAGCAAGCCCATCAAAGGTGATCAAAGAATGTGCCAAATTCTTCTAAATTGATTCAGAAAGACTGCTCTAAGGTATCTTCGTGCATCTGGTCGGCACACTTGGCCCGATTCAGCGGATACATTGGCATTACGGGATAATCCTATACGATAGCACTGCTCGGCACACAAGATAATGTACAGAGGACGCTAGGCTAGCCCTCTGGGACCAGCACTTCTCTACAGTAATTTCTTACCCTTCGCAGTGGCGATTTCTCCATCACGATGCACAAAGGCATGACACCCCATGGGAGACACACCAACAGGGAATGATAGGCGATGACCGAGTATAGAGGTGCTGGTGTCTCGTTGAGACACGTCCCTCAAACATCGCGGTAGAAGACGATACCTTTAGTCAGGAAATCATTCAAACAGTAAGTATTAAATATATATCTCGAATGTTTTGGTCAGCATGATCTAGAGGTTATGCATTTTGGCATATGGCGTACATTATATTTTGTTGAGCTGATTAAAAATATAATGGAGCATTCCATCAATGATACACAACTTGAATTAAACATACTCAAACTTGCAAATGGATTACCTCTGAAAGGCCAGTGGATTGTCTCTTAACGTCTGCTCACCGTCTGCCCCGCTTCTGAAGTAATGCCAGAAACTGTCCGACACCCTCGCCTTCAGGTAAGGCTCAAAGTCCTCAACACAGACTGGTTCCGATGCCATGATGATCGTTCACAGCCCTCAACTTTTTTTCCAAATCTGACAGCAAACTGAACCCGATCAGGCAAAATAAATCATGATCACAATTGATGGCGGAGGTTAATCGACTTGATGCTGATAGCATTGTCAGTATTTTACTTATCCATTTGCCCTGCTACATAATTCTACACACTAAAAATGGGTCATATTTGACCTGATAGTTGTCACGTTTCAATAAACATGAATGTCACTTTTGTAAGATTTTAGAAAGCATCAGGTCAAAGTACTTGTAGACCTAAAGAGTGCAAACCCAAAAGAAGTATGTTATGGCCGACATTCAACTCACAGTACAATTAACAAATTCGGAAACCTACATGTACATGTACATGTACAACCTGAACTGATGCTTAAACTGACACACTATGCCTACTCGATGGCCGTGCTCCGAAAAGATGTGCCGCTTCTTTATTCTCAAGACCAAGTAGCACGAATGGTCGCGTATGATCTGGCTCTTACCAATACGGCTGCAACGCTGGCCCGTGTGTGTTACAGTTGTATCAGAATTCTACCTATACTTCGATCTACCACAAGAATAATCAAACATGTCCGATTAGAAAGCAGCATTCAACTTCTTTTCAATATTGTTTGCGCGGCTGGCTTGCTGAGCCGTGTCCCTTACCATTACACGGGCGGCCTCGATGCTTTCGGTCATTTTAAGTTTGTACACACTTCTAGAAGGCCATTGCTTTGTGCACAAACAGTAGAAGTGACCACTGAACAATCAGCTACGTGAAGGCCTCCCCTCGTGTTTTACGACTGTGCTTTGTGGCAGTCAGGCAGGCAAGGCCATGAAGCGGGATCTGGGTCGAGCTGTGACCGCGCCGCCAGCGCCAGTGGGATTCGTTGTTTCAAAGACAAAGACCAAGTCGGAAAGCCCATAGGGCCCATTTTTAAAACTACATCGTACTTTTACTTTCTCGATTATGGAAAAATCCATTATGCCACAAAAGAATTATAGTACATGTGTGTTGTATTTTCTTTTAAAATGTCCGGACTGCTGTGTCTTTCCATAGAGTCCTTCGAAATTTAACCCTGAAGGGGCCGGGGGGCGGAATCCGCCGCCCCCCCCCCCCGACCTTTTCCGCGATAGCCTTTAAAATAATTGTTTCGCGACCAGAGCTGTTATGACTTTTTAGCCTCAAGCCTTGCGCATCTTTTTACACCAAAAACATAAAATCGGACCAGCGAAAAATTTTCCGGCGCTACACGCCGTGAAAACTGAATTTTCCCATATACGTCGTGTACACAGACCAAAATTTCCATTCATACATATGAATAATTAATTAGCCATAATTCCAAAACCCTTTGACCTTTGGTCATGAAATTTCTTGGGTATGTTCATGAAGAGTTGCTCTATGGGTGCATACCTGCAAATAAACTCCCATAGACACTAGTGCTAAATGCCCGTACTTCAAAATTCTTTTAAAAATACTCAAAACTCTCACAGGTATTCAAGCTGCACAGAAAAATGATGATCAATGTGTCATCTTTCAATTTCTTTTCAATTTATGATGGGTTGACCATTGACTTTTCGAGATATTTTCACGCAAAGAAGACGACCCCTATTTTCCCCAAAGCGGAAAAGTAGCCATCTTGAAAAACGATCCCTCCACAACATGGCAAAATAGCGCCACTTTCGAGCCCAATAGCATCCAAAATGCTCAGAATTGGAAGCCCCAAGTCCGGGCCAGAGGTTCACTACCATATCTCTTCAATTCCCAAATTTTACGGCGCTCAGAACTCTCTAATATAGAATATTTTGAGGGTATAACTTTTATTCATGAGCTTGGCGGATCGATTTACCGGTGTGTACCCTATAATAGCAGGCAACTTTTAAATTTTAACACAAAATCACATTCAGGACAAGCAGAATATCTCCAAAGTCAATATTTTGAAAAAAAAAATGAAAGAAAAATATTATCCGAGGTCGATATAAAGCCCGAAAATAGTGATTGTTTTGCCCCTGCTAAGCTGTAGAGCGCCCCCAGCGACAATAAATTGAGTTCCAGCTACTTTAAAGCTCAAAATGCCCCCCCCCCCCTTTTCAACTATCAATTGTTGTAATCGGGTGATAGCCTACTGCTCCCTTATGATTTGGAAGCATCCGTTACGGAAAAAAACCCTTGTTGATACCTTTAAAACACTTTTTCCCCCTCCCCGTAGGTTCCGCCCACTGAAAAGACCACTGCCGCGGCACAGCGCATGCGCGAAACGGCCATCTTTGTGATTCTTTATAATAGCAGGCAACTTTTAAATTTTAACACAAAATCACATTCAGGACAAGCAGAATATCTCCAAAGTCAATATTTTGAAAAAAAAAATGAAAGAAAAATATTATCCGAGGTCGATATAAAGCCCGAAAATAGTGATTGTTTTGCCCCTGCTAAGCTGTAGAGCGCCCCCAGCGACAATAAATTGAGTTCCAGCTACTTTAAAGCTCAAAATGCCCCCCCCCCCCCTTTTCAACTATCAATTGTTGTAATCGGGTGATAGCCTACTGCTCCCTTATGATTTGGAAGCATCCGTTACGGAAAAAAACCCTTGTTGATACCTTTAAAACACTTTTTCCCCCTCCCCGTAGGTTCCGCCCACTGAAAAGACCACTGCCGCGGCACAGCGCATGCGCGAAACGGCCATCTTTGTGATTCTTTATAGGGTGCATACCTGCAAATAAACTCCCATAGACACTAGTGCTAAATGCCCGTACTTCAAAATTCTTTTAAAAATACTCAAAACTCTCACAGGTATTCAAGCTGCACAGAAAAATGATGATCAATGTGTCATCTTTCAATTTCTTTTCAATTTATGATGGGTTGACCATTGACTTTTCGAGATATTTTCACGCAAAGAAGACGACCCCTATTTTCCCCAAAGCGGAAAAGTAGCCATCTTGAAAAACGATCCCTCCACAACATGGCAAAATAGCGCCACTTTCGAGCCCAATAGCATCCAAAATGCTCAGAATTGGAAGCCCCAAGTCCGGGCCAGAGGTTCACTACCATATCTCTTCAATTCCCAAATTTTACGGCGCTCAGAACTCTCTAATATAGAATATTTTGAGGGTATAACTTTTATTCATGAGCTTGGCGGATCGATTTACCGGTGTGTACCCTATAATAGCAGGCAACTTTTAAATTTTAACACAAAATCACATTCAGGACAAGCAGAATATCTCCAAAGTCAATATTTTGAAAAAAAAAATGAAAGAAAAATATTATCCGAGGTCGATATAAAGCCCGAAAATAGTGATTGTTTTGCCCCTGCTAAGCTGTAGAGCGCCCCCAGCGACAATAAATTGAGTTCCAGCTACTTTAAAGCTCAAAATGCCCCCCCCCCCCCTTTTCAACTATCAATTGTTGTAATCGGGTGATAGCCTACTGCTCCCTTATGATTTGGAAGCATCCGTTACGGAAAAAAACCCTTGTTGATACCTTTAAAACACTTTTTCCCCCTCCCCGTAGGTTCCGCCCACTGAAAAGACCACTGCCGCGGCACAGCGCATGCGCGAAACGGCCATCTTTGTGATTCTTTATAATAGCAGGCAACTTTTAAATTTTAACACAAAATCACATTCAGGACAAGCAGAATATCTCCAAAGTCAATATTTTGAAAAAAAAAATGAAAGAAAAATATTATCCGAGGTCGATATAAAGCCCGAAAATAGTGATTGTTTTGCCCCTGCTAAGCTGTAGAGCGCCCCCAGCGACAATAAATTGAGTTCCAGCTACTTTAAAGCTCAAAATGCCCCCCCCCCCCTTTTCAACTATCAATTGTTGTAATCGGGTGATAGCCTACTGCTCCCTTATGATTTGGAAGCATCCGTTACGGAAAAAAAACCCTTGTTGATACCTTTAAAACACTTTTTCCCCCTCCCCGTAGGTTCCGCCCACTGAAAAGACCACTGCCGCGGCACAGCGCATGCGCGAAACGGCCATCTTTGTGATTCTTTATAGGGTGCATACCTGCAAATAAACTCCCATAGACACTAGTGCTAAATGCCCGTACTTCAAAATTCTTTTAAAAATACTCAAAACTCTCACAGGTATTCAAGCTGCACAGAAAAATGATGATCAATGTGTCATCTTTCAATTTCTTTTCAATTTATGATGGGTTGACCATTGACTTTTCGAGATATTTTCACGCAAAGAAGACGACCCCTATTTTCCCCAAAGCGGAAAAGTAGCCATCTTGAAAAACGATCCCTCCACAACATGGCAAAATAGCGCCACTTTCGAGCCCAATAGCATCCAAAATGCTCAGAATTGGAAGCCCCAAGTCCGGGCCAGAGGTTCACTACCATATCTCTTCAATTCCCAAATTTTACGGCGCTCAGAACTCTCTAATATAGAATATTTTGAGGGTATAACTTTTATTCATGAGCTTGGCGGATCGATTTACCGGTGTGTACCCCTATGCATGTACCGCGTTTCAAAATGTTCGTCACTCGATGGCCGAGATCTTGGGGGGGGGGCAGAATCCGCCCCCCGCCCCCCGGCTGAGAGATGGTCAAAATAACCCGGCCCCTTTAGGGTTACAATGTCCTGCTGTGTCTTTCCATGGAGTCCTTCGAAATTCAAAGATCCCTCAAAATCTTTCTCTTGTATAGTAGTATTGACTTATTTCACCAAAAGAGGTAGGCGTGCGTAATGAGAAAAACTGTCGTAAACTCAGCGCAGAATTTTATTATGCCCATGCAAAAGGAAAAAAAAACTATAAAAGCCATTTTATGATGAAATTAGCATATGTTGCATAAACTCCGACGACGTTAGAGGCTCCGTCAAGTCTACCGTTGTCATAAATTCAGCGCGGAATTTTATTATACCCATGCAAACGACCCCAAAGAAAAATTAAAATAAAAGCCATTTTATCTTAATATCGTAACCTTAGTGCAGAATTTTATTATACCCATGCAAAACCACCAACCCCCCCCATAAAGGCCATTTTATCTTAAAATTAGCATAATTATGTTTCATAAACTTTAACGACGTGAGACGCTCTGTCAATTCTACCAATGTCGTAACCTTAGTGCAGAATTTTATTATGCCCATGCAAAAGACAAAAAACAAAACAGCCATTTTATTTTAAGATTAGCATATTTCTGTTGCATAAACTCCAACGACGTTAGAGGCTTCGTTAATTCTACCAATAGTCCCAACTGGTTGTATGCTTGAGTAGCCATCCATGCAGCACCAGATGTGCGCTTCCAGATAGGCCTACAAGTCTTGTCCAGGTAGCAACAAGTTTAACCCTAAAGGGGCCGGGTTATTTTGACCATCTCTCAGCCGGGGGGGGGGGCGGATTCGGCCCCCCCCCCCCTAAGATCTCGGCCATCGAGTGACGAAAAATTTTGAAACTCAATTCATGCATAGAGCAACTCTTCCTTGACATACCCAAGAAATTTCATGACTGTAGGTCAAAGGGTTTTGGAATTATGGCTAATTAATTATTCATATGTATGAATGGCAATTCTGCTCTGTGTACACGACGTATATGCGAAAATTCAGTTTTCACGGCGCGTAGCGCCAGAAAATTTTTCGCTACGCGGCAACCCGTGGTCCGATTTTTATGTTTTTAGTATCAAAAGATGCGCAAAGCTCGAGGCTAAAAAGTCATAACAGCTCGGGTCGCGAAAAAAATTTTTTTTAGAGGCTATCACGGAAAATGTTGAGGGGGGGGGCGGATTCCGCCCCCCCCCCGGCCCTGATGTGATTTTCTTTGTAAAGAACACAGGGTAATGGGTGCAGGGTAAAGGGAGGGGTAATGTGTAGTTCAATTATGATTAAGTCACTGTAAACACAAGAAAATATGCCAGCCCGACCACTCTGCGTTTGTAACTCAACAAACGCGAACCTCTAGTTTGCTTTATTTTTCCTCATGTACATTGGTGTCCTCCATAAAATGCCTTGGTGCCCTCGATCATTAGCCTTGGGGCAATTTCCCATTCCTTGGTGCTCTTTAGTAAAAAAAATAAGAGGAGGCGCGGTAATAGAGGGCGCTGTTGGAGCTACCGCGGAATATTTTGGAAACAAAAGATTGACGCGCATGATTAAAATCGACGCGCGCGCTGACCAGCCTTATAGGCCTTTCTTTTGTTTGTGAACATTGCCGCCATTTTGTATGGGCTGCCGTAAGCGCATAAATTGAAGCCGTGGTTGGTAACATATTTTTCCAAAAAAGTACTCATAACGCCATTAACACATTGTAAAAAGGCATATTTAGGAATTATTTTGTAGCTTTGTTGAAAATGTTGTATTTTCAAGTATCAAATAATATTTTAGTGATCTGTAATAACTCTTCATCGTTTTTGCAGTGTTGGACCTGCCATAGTTTTGCAGGCCATGGTTGGCAAAAATGCAGTTTGCCAACCAAGCGCAGAAAGGTCTATTGTCATTGCCAAATGGCCAGGTCACTGCCAGGGCCAGTCCTGTGGGAACGAGTTGACAACTGCATCATGTATTGCCTTAGCCGATTGGATTTGTAGGCAATACACCCTCTATACAGGGTGATTAAAAAAACACGAAACCCAAATGTCGGAACAATATTGTTTTAGTGAAGTTCTGCATGTAGCTTTTTGGAAATCTAGGATATGAAGGCCCAATTCATAAGCTTTCTTTTAGTTTAAGAATCATTCAAATTACTTATGTACTATTCAAGTTGAAGAATTTTAAATACAATTTTAAAGTGCTACTTGCAGAACTTCACTAAAACAATAGTTTCGACATTTGGGTTTCTTTTTTTTTGACTCACCCTTTCATTATAATGTTGTTTTACATGTACGTTTATGAAATCACTTCCACGTTCAACGGCAAAGTTGACAGTCAGATTCAATTCTCTTTTCTTGTCTTTTCCCAAAAGAAACAATTACTGTTGTCCAAAAAAAAAGTCCGGTCCCCCTAAATCAGACGAGGGGGGGGGGGGGGGGGGGGGGGTCGAGTGCATTTCCTTTAAAAAGAAATCCGAGTCGAGTGTTTTCCTTTAAAAACTAACTGTCCGACCCCTCTTTTATGAAAAGGGGGGTCGAGTGAATTTATTTCCTTTGAAGAATTGTCCGACCCCCTAAATTCAGAAAATTTAGGGTCGATTGTTATTCCTTTGTTAGAAATTGTCCGACACCCTTATTTGAAAAGCGGAGTCGAGTGCATTAATTTCCTTTGAAAGAATTGTCCCACCCCCTTAATTCAGAAAAGGGGTCCGGGTCCATCTATTTCTTTTGAAAAAAATTGTCCGATCCCCTTAAATCAGACGGGGGGTTCGAGTGCATTTCGTTAAAAAAAAAAACACCCAGATGTCCGAGTCGAATTAAGAAAATTCAGATTCAAATTAAAAACAAATCTGCTTTGAATTTCGAAAATCTTAGTAAGGCCAAATAAAAAAAAAATGTTTAGCGTCCTGTCTTTTTGAAAAAAGCAAGGAGGAGGCCCTTTTTTCCTACCCGAAATGGCCGAGCGACCGAGCTTCTTTTTCAAGGGATAGCAAGGGTTGAAAAGGACCCTACATGTGCTGCACGAAAAAGTCACTGCAGGGTAAAGCTGCGGTAGACAACACCAGACAATTCCGGAGCTGGGGTTGCAAGCGTAAGGCTTGCCCCGAATCATGTGATATAGTAACAGCCTCTTTGGTCAGGAGAATGCAAAGTTAAACCGTGCAAAGCAATGGATTAAGTCGGCTTTCCAGATTGTGTTCAAACTTAACTCACAAGCCTCAGGGAATTTTGTTAAGAAAGCTTCTCGATTTAAGCCTAGTTTTCTAGGTCGACGTTGTTCCAATTCAAACAAGAACTGGTTCTCAGACTCTAGCTCTACATCTTGCTACGGCATCGTCGTAATCTAATCTGGTGTAATATCCGATAGCGAGAAACAACCTGGTGAAAAATAAATTAAAGAATAAATTTTTCTGGTAAAACTTAGCCAATAGCAACTTGAAAACTAGTATATTCAGAGCGGTATCCTATTAATCATAGCTGATGCAAATATTTTATTTTATCACTACAAGATAAAATGCATTATTCTGCACAGACACACACTGTTGATCAGTCACGTATTTTTCTTCAATTTGTTGGTTGTTGCCATGGGGTACGTGCGCGCTGTAAACCTTAGGCTACTTGGTGGGCGTGGCCGGGGAACACCTGGCCGCCCCAATTAATTGCGGACGTGACATATTGAGGTCAGATAAATTGTTCATATCACTAAAATGATATGGATTGCGCGCCCAAAGGGGTAAATGAAACTTTGCCCCAATCTATAAGAAAAATTAGCTCAAGTTCACTACTGACACTCGTTCAAATGGCCATTTTTGACGACCGTGACCTTGAAAAACGAACTCTCCGTGGCAAACCCTTGGTGGCGCACTGCATTGTGAATCGCCCGAATTGCAATCCGAGTGTGTTGATTTGTTCGATTCGTGTGAAATCAAATGGATGGGCACGCGTGGTTGACATGGTAACAATTTCTAAACAGGATTACTTTGTATTTGTTATCCTTTCATGCTAATCAGAAATTACTACTGGTTTATAGAAACAATAAGTCCCATATACAAGATCACTCTAAAGCATGGTGATAGGAGAATGGATATATTAACAATTCGGCCGATTCACAATGCAGTGCGCCAGCAAGAGTTTGCCATAGAGAGTCCATTTTTCAAGTTTACGATCGACAAAACATGGCCCATTTCAATGAGTGTCGGTAAACAACTTGAGTTAATGTCATAGATTGGGGCATAGCGTTCTGCCGCCTTACAAAACACACCATATTGATAAAAAGGAAAGAAATCGGCAAACATGCAGATCCTCGAATCATACGTTTACGAAACCAGTGACCGGAAAAACTAACAATTTCAAATGTCCCGCGCGCAAATTTGTCGACCATCTCCCACAATGCACTGGGAAAAATGAACTCTCCGTGGCAAACTCTTGGTGGCGCTCTGCATTGTGAATCGCCCGAATTGAAATGACAATTCTAAAGCTAGTCTTAGAGTGAACGAAATTCATAGCTGTGATTCACTGGATATAATTTATGTCCATGCTTCTGGTTAGAAAAAGGCGAAAACAAAGCTGTCAGTAGACTACATCAGATTAAGATGGATGTTCCAGCGGCTAATAATACGGCCGCATTAATTTGGTTCAAATGATTAAAACTGATGGAAAAACGTGAAAGCTGTCAGTGCAGTGATGCGTTTCACAATGGTCTGCATGTAGGCCTTTATATGCTACTTGATTGCTTCGTGGACTTAGCGCTGAATTGAAAAGAACCAATTAGGCCCATAATGAATAGTCGTATTGGCTGCTTCGTAATTGCACGATAATATTGTAAGCCAAGGTTTCAACTGTCATTTTACTCCATGAGATGAGGCTCTCTTGCCGTTTTAATTATGTTACCCGATCTGGCGAATGGCATAAAGTGCCCGTCGTACTCCTCAATGTTCAGTGAAAATTAATTGGAACTGTCATTTTGCGCTTCGGCCCTTACGGCCCAACCTGTTGCCTCATTTTCCTGCACATTAACGCGTGCGCTCGTGACTACGGAAGCGTTAAAGGGACATGATACAAACAACAATGACTTATAATAATGACTTAGTATTAAGTAATAATTATGATATATATTTCATAATTACAACTCAGTTGTTAAATTACTATTTGGTCGTATTTGTGACATAATAATGACTTATTAGCAAGTCATAATTATGACTATTATCTTATAATTACTTAACTTAATACTAAGTCGTAGTGACTTAGTATTAAGTCAGTATTATGAGATATAAGTCATTATAATAACATATGAGTCATGAATATGACTTAATAATAAGTCATAATTATGAGATACGAGTCATAATTATGATTTAACAATAACGAAGTCGTAATTATGAGATATATATCGTAATTATGACTAATTACTAAGTCAGTATTATGAGATATAACGGTAAGTCATAACTATATTTTAATCTTTTTTTGTTAGTCTGTATAATGTCCCTTTAACACTTCCGTAGATGACACTATAGCTTCGAAGTGCTTTTCAGCGCGACAGGATTTTACTTTAGGAATATAACAGCATTGGATCAGACAGACGGAGATAATTATGATCTGTTGGGGGAATTCGTTCTTTGTTGGTCTATTTGCGGTACTCCTGTCTTTTGCCGTCGTTACATTATGTGCACATACGGGTAAGTGACGCTACTTAACTTACTTATGAATTTGATTTGCTACCCTAGCTTTCCTCGATTTTTCTTTGCGAAATTTAAAATAATTTATTTATTTTCCAATTGGACATAAGGGCTTTAAAACGAACTCGGAGGTAGAGCTGAAGCTGGCGCTGGAGGTCTTATCGGGGGTTTAGAAAACGGTCGTGTATGCATCAAGTATGTTGTAAATAGCGCCCATTAAATCTGGTGTAGTCTTTAACCACCCCACCCCCCCCCCCCCAAAAAAAAAACCCCGTGCCCTCCCCCCCCCCCCCCGAATAAACAATAATAATCAAATTATCATCAAAATAAAAAAAAAATATTTTTGGTATAAAGAAATCAGACAATAAGCGAAACTGAAATCGAAATATTGATCTGGAAATGACATGTTGAATTCTTTTCCAAAAAAATGGAAAGAAAAAACCGGATGATAAAGTAATGGAATTATTTCCTTTCCATACGGCCAAAATAAAATTATTGTGTTGCCCTCACATGTCGCCTTTTAATTTATATTTTTTTGTGGGGGGGCGGTTATAGATAGTGCACATATAGGTAAACTCACTCTTCTACTTGACGAATAGATGGTCCCCTCTACCAACGTAAAGAAATGTTTAGCGCCAACTATAAGCTGTGTTCCATGAACATGCATGCGATACAAGGCATAGTGCATGTACACATGTATACACATCACACCACATTCCCCAGGCCTCGGCCTAAGTTACACCTATTACTGTACTACACAACTTCTTCTTTTGGCCTAATTCGCTAAAGCTTTAATGCTCCATTTAGGATCATAAAAGCACATCAAACTGTAATGGAAAAGAAATTACATTACTTTTTTTTTCCCATCCGATTTTAGGCCGCAGGATCAGTGGCGCAATAACTGAGACCTCATTTGCAGGTGGAGGGGGAGAGGTACTTTGGGCCTCATTTTCAGGAGGGGGCACTACTTCAATTTCCAATGCGTTTCCGTCTGTAGAGGGCGAGGTCTATGTTGAAATGACGTCACACTTACGAACCGGATCAGAGGACGTAGCGTTTATGGGGCCAGAAATTTCAGGCACATCGACTGGCTATGTTTTGTGTTTAGATGTTTATTCCAACGATAGCCATCTATCATGAAATACATTGAAAGACAAATAGTGCCTTTATTTATATGCATCTAGCTCCAAATTTGGGTTGTAGCCATAAGATATATTTTAAGAGTAGGCCTACCTTGATTTCCGTTACCAGGTGACGATCAGTTACAAGAAAACGATGACACGTATTACCGTCTGTTTGGTGGAACTTCCCCGAAAGAGGGCGTTCTACAGTTCCACAGTACGCCCAATGAGACCTGGAATACCATGTGCTACAGCAGATCATCTGGGTTGGTCGTATACCCTGACATCTGGGCCAGTGTTTGCAAGCAGCTCGGGTACAAGGTCTACTGTAGCTCGGACAGTCTGGGGCCGGCGGCCCTGGGTTTTACTTCGCAAGATGGGCTTGCTATTGCGGACTTCCCGTTAAGGCGGGCCAGATTTTCTTGCCCAATTTCGGACGGAGCCGCCTCTGGGTGTAGTCTGGTTGCTGACATGGCCGACCATGACGATTGCACTTTGGACGAGGCGGTGTGGCTGGAATGCGACTCGGGTAAGTTGCAGCCGAATACTATATTCACAGAATCGCCACGTTATGAATTGTCTCTGCCCAGCTCATTCTATTATCAGATTATCACTCGAATTTACCCCCACCCCTGCCGCTGTTTTCTTGTCTCTTCTAGACAGATTATTTTAGAAGCAAACGATCAATTCGGCCTACAAATCCCATTGCTTTTTTTTCTCTCGATGTCATAAATATTAAAATCTTCATAAATAACAGTGTATTTAATACGTTAGTAGTGATTAAATTCCATTCACCAGTTATGAACGAAATTACCTAACGATAAACCTTCTAGACTTTTTTTGGGTTGAGTTTTTGAAGGTCTTTCGTTCCTTTCTATTTTCCCAAAATTAAGTTCTTGACTTTCATCTTGAGTACGGATTTCACGGAAACACCGGCATGCTGCTTGCACGCTGCAGCAACAGCACTCGATGGAAGGCTGTATGCGGTAACTTGTGGAAGCTTCTTGAGCATGAGCACCAAGTCGCCTGCCGCCATCTTGGATACTCTGACGCCGCGCGCAGCACTGCTTACGTCATTCCTACGTGGACTCTTTCAACCTCGTTTGATATTCTACTGGATTGTGTCAAATGCACTGGGAAAGAGGACAGTCTGGTCGATTGTGAGATATTTCAACCTTCCACGGATGCCTGTTCAGGTTTTGCTGGTCTGGATTGCAGTGAAGACGAAGGTAAAGACTAATAACCATTATCCTTCACCTTATTGTTCTGTATTTTTCCTGAGGATATACAAAACACTAAACAGCATTACATAATCAGTTGAATAAATTTATTCACAATAACTCGCAAATAATTATTCAAAATTCTGGCAAATGTGGAATTCATAAACGGGACATCTTTGGTAAACTACCAACATAGCATTTCTGTCCGTCTTTCTTGGGCAAAAGGCAAAACATATATATAATAATAGCATCCCTTGATATTTTCTTCCAACTGATCTGTATAAACGACTAAAATCGCCCGCCGTCTTGTCGCACATTTATTCTGTAATCTGTAAAAAAAAAAGTCACGATTCGTCTTCAGCCATGAACATAATGAAACGGTTTATTTCACTTTTGCCACTTGTTCATTTTTAAACAAAATTCCTCGTGTTCGCCAGAACGGAGATTAGAGCTCAGGCTTGTCGACTCCAAATACGAAGCCTCGGGTATCGTGGTGGGCCGACACCATCCCAGCGACAAGTGGGGCGCCATCTGTCAGCAAACATGGGACGACCGCGACGCGCAAGTCGCGTGCCGCCATCTTGGCTACGTTACCAGCATCGTCGTCAACCTGGTACACCGCAACACCACGAGTCTTGGGTTCAACGGGACGTTTCTGTCAGGGGTGGGCTGCTACGGACACGAGAGCGACTTGTCCCGGTGCGAGTTGGCCTCCGATCGCGATGTGGTTTGCGACCAACTTGCCTACGTGGAATGCATTGCGGGTACGTGAACAAGTAACGACGTATTGGAATTAGCTTCTTTCTTTTTTTTTAATTATTATGTAATAATGTTAGACACAATAGGATGGAGGTAATTGGTTGCGATAATTTTTGTTGATTAACCCAAGAGTAAGTTTTGGGCGAAGACAATTAGTCGACTTCTGACGTAACGTACGCCTGTTCACTAACAGCAACGTGCGAACTACTCTAGTCAGACGATTGTCAAAAGTCCTTGTTCCCCGTTGTGCTTTAGGATGCGCACGTCTGTTGGTATCAGTGATGTAATCACGCACCGGGTTCGGTTCCAAATAGTCGAATAGATTAGTGCAACCGAGCTAAGTATAAGTCGAACCATGGTTACCTGTAGTTCCCGCCCGAACTGGCTCCAGGTTTTCCCATATCAAATAGCGTCCTCTGTTGCCTCCTCCACGTTTCAAATTTTGCTAATTAGCTATTGTGCTGATTCTAATTGCTGGGTTTAGGCCTACACGAATGTTTATCATTCAAAAATCACGTGAATGTTTTCTTACTGCATAAAGGTGTTGCAAAGTAGTAGTTTTGGCAGTTCTAAAATAGGAGGGACAAACTGTTGCGATTATCTCGAAAACGTTTTATTCTTCAAAATGGCTCTTCGTGAAAACGGTGAAGTCCGACATGTGTGTTGTTTAAGTGTGGTGGGTTCTCTTTGCAGAAACGGAGAGGTTTGACATTCCAGCCTATTTGTGCGGCGAGATCAACTTCTGTGGCTTCGAATGCAACCAAGGGCGCCGCGACACGTTGAGAATATTCAAACAAGAGACTTGCAAATGCGACAGCTTGTGCGAGTACTTCGAGGACTGTTGCTATGACTACCGGTCCAACTGCGTAATGCCCCAGGTCGAGGTCGACCTAGGGCATTACGCATGCGTCTCGGTTACCAGACAGGTCCAAATGGACGATAATTACGATAACTGGGGGTATGCGCTAGTGAGTTTCTGCCCAAAGTGGTGGACGGATGCTTCAACAAGGCAGAGCTGCGAAAAGATGGCCGACCGTGATGACGTCATCGGCACCCTGCCGATCTACGACGAAGAGGGCGCTGTGTACAAGAACGTATTCTGCGCAGCGTGCCACAGAGTTGGACCGGAAAGTCTGCATCCATGGCCAATATCCGTGCAATACATCGACAATGGGGGTAACTTCCAAATGTTCGATTGGAAATTTAATGTGACCGTGCACGGCGTGCCAACCGGCATTTATTCCGTCGAACCTCCGCCGCACATCACCGCCCGTTCTTGCCCCGTGAACACGATCAAATCTTGCCTCCCGGAGTTCAAGAACACAAGCCTTGAATCAGCCTGTCAGCAGTACTTCGCACCGCTGGAAATAAACGCAGCGCTCTACCACAACCCGCACTGTGCGATGTGTAACGGGTTATCTGTTAGCCCAACTGACACCTGTAGGTCCCTCTGTCCAAAGTGTAGGAACCAGGAAAACTGGGATTTTTGCGTCGTGTCTTGTTCGCCGCGTCAGGAAGCAGAACCTCTTCCAACCGTAGAAGCTCTCTTTAACTTCGCCTTTGGGTGGAAACGAGAACGCTTTATGCCGGACTGGCGAGCTGTTTGATCCGTTCCTCGGCAGATGCCGCAGAGTTCTCTGCGTGTCCGGTAGATTTACCGCGGATGGTGGTTGCCTACTGCCGGGATCTGCACCTCCGCCGGTTTTGCCATGGTTCTCCCTGCTCGACGATAGTTGCACGGAATCTATCAATCGAAGTCTAGACCCCGATGTTCTGTACTGGAAGGCTGTCCCAATTCTAGCCAATCCAACTTTTGATTTTGACCCTCATGCAGAGTTCTCGGTTTCGGTCATCACCGAGTCACCTGCTGCACTTGAGCTTAACTTGAGCAGCCTGTTTGAGAACCACAAGAGCATTCTCGGACGCTGTAACATCACAGAAGTCAACGTTTATATTTCTGAGGGTGCGCCTCTGTTGGCCGATCTTGAAAGTTGTGCGAACTTTACACAAGTAGCGACTGATGTTTTCCAGGATTCACAAGACGCAAACGAGTCGAGTCTGGAATTTTTAATTTTCAGGTCCTTCAAATGGAGCAAACAAAACTCGGACTTTATAAGAAATGTGCTTGTGCCAACGGAATGCCTAGAAGTGCTCACATTGGGATGTCAACAGATTGTACTCTTCCCTCCTGACGAGTTTGCTTTTCGAGATTCGAGTGGGTCCATAACGCACACCGCGAGAGGGAAGGACTTTCACCCGGGAGAATTCGTCCTCATGCCCCACGGGCAGGCTGCAGTCTGCGGTCCCGTGCAGTGGACCGACCCGAATGAGTTTGCGATGGGCGTCGTCGCTTTGGTCTGCAGCTGCGCCTCTCTCGTTGCCCTGACAGCAACCTTTGTCACATACTGCGCATTTTCCGAGCTGAGAAACATGCCCGGTCTGTTCATCATGAACCTCGTTGTGGCGCTCTTTGTCGCCCTCTTTCTTGCAGTCATGGTTTGGGGCCTGGACTTCATCGGCAACGCCTGTGCGGTTTCCGCCTCCTTGGTCCATCTCAACTGGCTAGCCGCGTTCTTCTGGATGGCTATGCTGTCCTACAACGCAGCTAAAACCTTCGGTGGGAGCAATATCGCACAAAGGCGATCGGGGCCTAACTATCGCAAGTTTCTAGCATCCGTCATTATTGTTTGGGGTGGTGCTTTACTCGTCGTAACCATCTGCCTAATTCTTCACTACTGCAACTGCACCGCCCTAACTCCCATTTACAGCGAAATCCAGCCGTGCATGATCGCTGACGCAAACGCGCGCCTGTTCTTTTTTGGTGTTCCCGTGGCAACCTCCCTTCTTATCAGTGGAGCCTGCTTCGTCTCCGTCATCTTCAGTGTGAGAAAAGCCAGAAAAGACAGCAAGATAATTCATCAAAGGGGGAGAGCAGAAGAGGTACTTAAAGAGGTGAAAATATACGCAAAGGTAAATATAAAGTATGAACACAATCATACAAATCGTTTCATATATTTCATTTCAGGTCATATACGGTTTTATAACCTCACCTACAGATTACGTTTCCTGCTTGGTCAAAGGGCGTCACATGGTATTTGCTATTTTAACAATTATATGTAAAGCTGAAAACATTTCGTTTATATGTAAGAAGGACATGCTTAGCCACAAGGTACACGCTATTTGTCAAGAAAATTTTAAAGTTGCAAAATAATTATGTAGTAAGAAAATAACTACATGTATGCCATACATTTAGATTGAAAGCGCCCACGAAAGTAAGGAGTTCAGTCATTTTTTTTTCTCAACAGCTTGGTGTACTGATCGGAGTCACGTGGGTACTGGCCTTCGTGTTTGAACTCTTCGACCATGTGGTGTTCTCTTACATTAACGTCACTGTGAACGCGCTGCAGGGGTTCTTCATTTTCGTCGCGTTCTGCCTTAACCAACGCGTGAGGGCGTTGTGGAGGAAGAAACTGCTCAGTCTGAATAGTAAACGTAGAGGGCACCAGTCATCATCTAATACGCCGACTGGTACCCATTCGACGATTAACGATGACAAACAGTCCAAACAGAAACCAGATGTACAGGAAACACGCTTGTAGACAAATTACATCGAAAATGCCTTTTTTGTTTTGAACTTAATACGTCAGTAATAATTAATGATATGTTAATCGAGAAATAACTAGCATGGTGACAGTTTTCGTTGTGATTGAAAAATAGTGTATGACTTAGGCCTGATTATGATATGGTACGTGTATTGCACCATTTTGTCTCATTGGGTAGACAAAGTAGTTTCATTGAAAGTCTCGGCACAATGGGGTTTTCTTGCGGAAGGAGCGCCCATTTCCTAAATTGTGGCGCCAAACCCTCATAACGTTCGTGTAGGACCAGTCATCAAATCAGCTTGATAACCATTTTTAAAACCTAATTGGTGCAGTTATGTATATGATTGTAATGGGCCGATTTGTAGTTCATAATCTTACGTGGCGTGGCGTGTCTATCAACGAACGATGTTGTGCATAAAGTCGAAGTATTTTTGTAACCCATGATTGTTCTTCGCTCTTGGATAGATCGGCGAGTCTGTCAACGATGTTTTGCAGCAAAGCCAAGTAGTTTGTAACCATGATTGTTCCTAGCTCTTGGGTAGGTTGGCGTTTCTATCACCGATGTTGTGCAGTAAAGACAAAGTGGTTTGTAATCCATTGTTAGTGTTCGTAGCTCTGGGATAGGTTGGCGTGTCTATCAACGATGTTGGGCAGTTGAAAAGTTGACGTAGTTTCTAATCCATACTTCTTAGCTCTTGAATAATAATAGTAATAATACCATACCAGGTATTTATATTGGGCTCTACAAAGATTACAACGCCGCACGATAAACAGCAAACAGTTACAGAAAAAAATCAAAAGAAATGGTTGTCAGTGATGTAACTAGGCATTGGACCATGGATAGATTCATATCCATACAATAGGTCGGCGAGTCTATCAACCATGTTGTGCAGTTATGAAGTTGAAGCTTGAGGATATTCTGTAAAGTCCCTGGGCCCGTTAACTTCTCAGTTTAAGCATATTTAGCTGGGTCTGTGTGTTGTTCAATTCAAGCAAGAACTGGTTCTCGAAATTTACTTCTACATCTTGCTGTGCGGCATCGTCGCAATCAAATCTGGTGTAATATCCGCAAGTGAGGAACAACCTGATAAAAAGAAATGCAGAATGATATCTTCAGATGTCTCCCCAGTCATCTGGTAAAACTTAGCCAAACTACGTTGCATTCAGAGCTGTCTGCTTATTTGATGCTAATTGCCATATACTTTGCATAATATCCGAATAAGTGGATTTTGATTTTGTTTTTGTATACTACATCACCTGGTAACGAAGTAGTTGGGTTTTTATTTTCCGTCCTTCGTTATGCAATTGTGTTTACTTTGGATTTCATGTGTACATTTACCTAACTAAAGAATTATCATTGTTGTAAGATTAAGTGGAAGTACTGAAATAAACTACTATTGAATATTATTCACTCTTCTGCGCATGCATAAACAAACTCTCTTAGAAAAGATAATGCATTGTAGCGTTTTTATATAATGAGTTCTTAATTATCAATTCTCCTTGTTTTTTGGTTAATCACCACACATTGATAGTCAACGTTACTTTTTGAACTTGTTTAGTAATCATTCCTGTAGAACGATTAATCCTTCTGATTGTGATGCATTACTGGTAGTTTTCCTTACACCCCTACAGTGTGCCAATGCGGTGTGTAGTCAATATTGTTTTATACAGAGCAAAACGATCTTCGCTGCCCAAACACATGTTGTTAACCCTAAGTCACTGGTCATTTGACATTAACAGTTTCTCAGTACAGACAGCAACTTACTGGGCCTTTTTTTAAGGTGTTTTTATTTATCCATAGTCCTTTTATTTCTGAGAAAACATAACCGAGTTTCTCCTTTATTAAATATTTCTTATTTCAACTTCATCCTGTTTCCACAGTATATTCTTTCGGTATTGACCTGTGAGCAGTTCTTGGTTTAAAGGGAATGTACAACATTTGCTTTTGCTGCAATTTTGAGAAATGAATGGATTTGGATGATAAGTATGTTATAGCAAATATTTTTAAACTGACTTGTTTCACGTTATGGGCTTGCAGATGCTGGAAAAACCAAGAAAACCAATCATGTTCTTGTAGTCTGGTTCCCTGACCCCACTTAAGATGAAACGGAGCAATTAATATACTTTGGGGAAATTGTAAGGTCAGAGAATCAGTCTAGCAGGCTTGTACCCCTTCATAGGTGTGTAATCAATTGCAAAGAAAATGCGGAATAACTAAATATGAAAACTTAGGAGCAGCTTTTGAAAAAAGCCAGTTTTCTCCAACGCTGGTCGGCCGACCAGCTTTGGAAAAATACTATTTTTCTTGAAAATGTCAGCACACCAGCAGCCACAATTGTACAGGAAGCTTTAGACTGTCATTCCCTAACAATCCAGTAAGGTATTTTGTGATAATTTGATCATTTCGTTTTTTGACGTTTGCAAATGTTGTATCTTCCCTTTAATTCGATTGAATCTTCAACTCAACTCAACTCTTTCCCTTAGTTCACTTTAACCAGTTAAGTTAATCAACGTATATTTATAAAAAATGTTGTGGAATAAAGTCACAGTAAACACAGTCCTGAAGTAAAGAAGTGTGTATTGACTATCCATTCCCCAACAGTATGCTGATATACATAGGCCTACTGACGGTGTAATTGAGATTTTAAAAATCTCAATTTATCCCTGAATCCATGCTTACCTGCTAGAGCCATGGCCAGGCTAAATTCGTCTTTGAGAATCCCCAAAACCTTTTCAACTCCTTTGTCACCCTGTGTATTTGGAGAAAAAGTACCTAAATTTCGGTGAATTTAAAATTGATATAATAATTTCACCAATTTAGGCACATGTATATTTATGGAAGGAAACTGCACAGAACGTATATACCAAACGGAGCTTGTTGTTTCCATAGAATAATATATCAATGGAGGTCACCTTTTACTCGAGAAATTAATATTCGGTAACTCACGTCGTAAGCAAGTCCCCAGATTGCCGGTCGGCCGACGAAAACGGCTCGTGCTCCCAGAGCAAGGGCCTTGAGGACATCGGTGCCTTTACGTACTCCTCCGTCAAGATACACCTCAACATTGGAGCCACGTACGGCGTTGACTATCTCAGCCAAGACGTCGATCTGATAGAATCCAGTTTAAATTTAATTAATTAGCGACGGTATATTAACACGAAACACACTTCCCTGGTAAACATAATTTTGACCAGTAACCTGTATGGAGCAAGCGAACCAGCGTGGGGCAAGCTCTTTCCTTTAGACTGATTTCCGCCTCTCCAGTATGGAGAGAGGAAACCACACTGCCTTAATGGCTGTACGTTTTCATCGTGCACATGCTTAACTTACTCTGGAATTATATTGCATGTTTACAATAGATACAAAAATTAGAGCGAACTTATTTAATCAACGGTCCAATGGTAATTAACTCTGCTGACGTTGTCAGTACATTTTAAAATATTTTTTTATTACTCCGTAATTTTTTCGTCCATACATTTTATACTCAACAAGTTCCCTATTGAGACAAAGCTAGAAAGAAAAAAAGCATCATGAATGCTTCTTTAACCCTGGTTAGACTTTTGACCCTGAATTTCTGAGGCAAAGATCAGACCCAGGCCAACTCCCATAGGATTTAGTCCAGCTCCAACCACATGGCTTGTGCAGTATGGTTGCAGTTATCACAAGGCCATCAAAATTAGGCCCAGCCTTGAAGCCTGGACACAGGTGGTCCTCATCCTTTTTAGCTATATTCATGTAGCCTCAGCCATTTGTGCTTGGGGTTGGCCATGCAAAAGCTAGGGAAGGGAGATAAAACGCGACCTTTTTCGCACGGCTACTGACCAAATACATCTGAACATACACTTTTTAGGCTTGAAATTGTTTTCCTGGGCCTCTATCTACCCATCTATTTAGACACTATGAGAAGGGATTATGTTCACCAAAACGCCTACTGGAAGGATTGTATTAGATCGTCTCATCCATGCACCATCACACTGCAAAGTTCAGTACTGTGGTGGACTACAACTAAAATGAAACAATGGCGCCTCGCAGGGTTAAAATTTGTCTTCGATTTGAATTATGAAACTCAAATTTGTTTTTCCAAAACGGGAACTTTCTGACGGACAATGGTCCTTGAACATAAAGCGACTGAGGTATTGAAGGCTTCTGTTTGTTTCAAGTTTCCTGATTTTTCACACAATTAATGTGGGGATCTGCCCCATGTAGCTAATACACTTTCAACTGCAGTTTATTTGGCTTTACTTTGTTGCGGGGCAACGAGTACTTGGTTTACCTTAGACTTAATAGTGTTTACTTCAGAATCTGCCACGTAGTTCATTTTTTTTCCAATGGTAATTTGATTAATACACATTTTGGTGGGAATCTATTATTGCTTTGTAAATGACACTGAATCATTTTGACATTGATTCCATGACAAATTCAATGTAGTTTTATTAAATAAAAATAGGTTTCTAAAGCACATACAGTGATAGAGTGACTGACTATACTTACGGTAGCTGGTACCCCGTCCAGCTGCCGGCCACCGTGGTTAGACACCAGGATACCAGCGGCACCATGCTTCACAGCTTCGCTTGCATCTTCAGCTTTAAGGGTGAGAAGGAATACAACAATTTCCATTAATAAGAAAGCTAAAGTATTGTGAAAAAGCGTTTTAACTTGGTACTTTAGAACCACATGTACATGTAAACAGATTCGAGCGAAGCCTGCGGAAATATCACGTCTCCTAGCATTCGTTAGATCACAACTATGGATGCATCATTTGTTGTAAAATCCAATGTGCTTAATCTCTCGATTTCACAAATCTGCTACGCAAAAATTTTGTTCCACAACTTTTACCAGAAGTAGTTGTATGAGTGAATTCACCTCTGCAAAGATAACACCTCTGCAATTTTTTTTTGCTGGTACCTTGTTTTTTTCTTGATAATTTTTGTTGTGGTGCTGAACGTTCCCATTATGCAAAGCGCAGCTATGATGAATTAGCATGGTTACCAACCAAGACGTCGTATGCAAGAAGCACATTCAGTGACTCGTTTTCAAACTCTAGTTGCAGTGCGGCTGTTTCATGATTCTGACCCCCAACTTTGCTCACCTGTAAGAATTCCTTTTATCACAACCGGAAGTGACGTAATTCCCCTCAGCCACAAGATGTCCTTCCACGTCAGAGCTTGTGAGCCGTCAAATACAAGTGCTACAGCTCTCCCTTGCGTTATTTCATCTCCAGGAAGAAACATTTGCGGGAGGCTTCGCAACGATAACACAAAAACAAATATCAAGCTTTTCTTGGTGTACGCGGGCTTTACTTTGAACGCGTGTTCACTTCTTGGTGAAGTATGGTAAACCCGATTTACATATACGCAGAGTCATGCTTTCCGCCAATTGACACATCTTAAAAGTACAAATTAACTTCAAATTAATCATAAATTATATAGTATTTATCATAATTTAGACCAGACCAGTTTCACTCCAAGTATTGTATCTGCACATTCTTTTGAAATAGGAATTTTTGAAACCTTTTTTCGAACAACGTACGTTAAGTTCGAGTCAATGTCCATGTTGAGTCTTAGGTGCATTCTGTTCCCCGACATCGGTTGATCAACCGTTGCCACTATTGCCTTGTAGCCTGCAGCCTCGGCCCGTCTGATCACCGCCTCCATTCTGCTTCTGTCGCGCAGGATGTTCAGGTGAAGCAGCAGTGGCGTGTCAGGGTGCACTGATGCAGCCACGTCCTCCAGACTCCTGTTGGACCACATACTGAGAATCATGGCAGACCCAGCATTTGATACACCTAGATGAGACAAGGCAAGCATATTAAAGGTGGTCAAAGAGTGTGCCACATTCTGTTGAATGGCTACTCATAGTGGTATTTTCGTACATCTGGTCGGCACACTTGGCCAGATTCAGCCGATACATTGGTGCTACGGGATAATCCTATATGATAGCACTGCTTGGATCACAACTGTTAGTGAGTCAGTAGAAAATGCTGAGAACTATGGCAGACCCAACGCTGGATGCACCTAGACGAGACAAGGCAAGCTTAGCATAGTTAGTCTCAGAGACGCAAGATGCAGAATGGCTACACATTAGGCTCGTTCGTGCATCTAGTCGGCACACTTGGTCCGATTCAGCCAATAATCCTATACAATAGCACTGTTTGGATCACAACTGTCATTGAGTAAGTGAAATAATGCACAGAGGAAACTTAAAGAGGTTGTGGCATGCTCGAAGACATTTCCGTCATTTTCGGGTATATGTAGCCTAAGGTGTGATGAAATAAAAACGACTATTGTTTCTGTCATGTAGCAAAAAAAAAAAAAATAAATCGTGACGTAAAAAACAGGACTCCCTATGCAGCGTAGTATAAACGAGTCCTGTTTATTACGTCACGATTTACTATGTTTTGTTTGGTGCCCCCAACGACGACTTTTACACAAATTGCACGTTCGGGTCGAAACAGGACCTGGAAAACAGCTCTCAAACGTACCTTTTGTATTCATTTCATGACAAAAACAAGAGTCGTTTTTATTTCATCACACCTTAGGCTACATATACCCGAAAATGACGGAAATGTCTTCGAGCATTCCACAACTTCTTTAAAGCTGGCCCTCTGGGATCAGCACTTCAATGGGCCTTATGCACAAGTTGGCGATTTTTTGTCGTGTTCCCTTAATGCATTTCATAAATTGTGAACTGTTGAATGTGATGGTGCCAGTCTATTTATTCACTATAGCCTCCCTTTAATTTTTTTTTTTTTAAATGTGGCTTAACATTAGAGTATGTTTAATCACAAATTTGTAATTATTCATCAGAGCAGACTGGTAAAGCTCCAAAAATGAAGATTTTACCTCACCCTCATTCCCATTATGGCCGACTTGTGAATAAGGCCCATACGGTAACCTCTTACCCTTTGCAGTGGCGATTTCTGCATCACGATGCACCAAGCCATGATAGGCCGTGGGAGACACACCAACAGGGAATGATACGCGGTGACCGAGTATAGAGGTGCTGGTGTCTCTTTCAGACACGTCCTTCAAACATCGTGGTAGAAGGCGATACCTTTATTTGGTTAGGAAATCATTGAAACCATGAGACTGCAATTAATAAGAGGTCTATGTCTGTCCGAAGAACAGGACCTAGGGCTTTTCCGCATAATGATTTGTGTGTGTGTCTTATGTACAAACAAAGGTCAAAGTGCATTTTAATGGTATCACAATGAGTCAAACTTTTTCACAATTTTTGGGCACTGAACATGACCCACAATACATGTAAAAAGAAAAAAAATCAGCATATCTTGTATGCTAGATAAAGTGAACGTTTCTAAAAAATTTAGAAATTCAAAAATTTATGATGCATCTCTATCTCTGTAAAATACAAAATTCCAACCCAATCAGATTGTAGTTATGTAGATATAGGGCTTAAATATGTGCACCTTTAACATGACGTCACATGACATATTATGATGTCATCGTGACGGCACTTATCAATCCACACATTTTCAAATTGGTCTTAGTGTGTGTCCAAATTTTGGAGTCGATCTGATCAAAACCAGTGTCAAATTTGTAAGTAAAATCATCTTACAAAATTCAAATTCATAAAAAACAGCCGATGACGTCCTAGCTTGTGACATCACTTCGGATTTTGCATATTAATATCATTATCCAACTTACCACAGAGTTTCATGACGATCAGACCATTCCTTATAATATGTACTATTAAAAAAATGGCATTTCTAATGACTTAATGATGACGTCACACATTAATTTTAATGCATATATTTATGACCTAACAAACCTCTTAAAAAAATTGAATTAAGCACGTTGTGTTCGAGAGAAATTGCGATAATCATCTGGTAATATTTGCGAGGTCAATGAATTTTGTATACCTCATTGCCGCTATGTTTAATCTTCCAAATGCCACTTTTTCATGACCAAAGTCTAAATAGTTCAAAAGAAATTTGTTTTAACTATAATTCTACAACATGTCATGAATTCAGACCCCAAGGACAATTTAGTCACAACCTCGATCTCATCTCCACTTCCGTATTAAAAGATAGGCTTTATTTAGAAAGGTCATGACCTCTAGAAGGTCACCAGAGGTTAAATATGAACTATCATACATATGAAAATTGTTTTCATAACATGAACACCTAACATTTAGATTTGGATCGAGAAAAAAGTTGGGGTATAAGGAGTAAAAATATAATAAATAGCTATAAATAAGGTTTACAACGTTAATTTGCCTCTCTAAGGTGACTATGCAGAGGTCAGATATGAGTTGGTTCTACATCTGATCATTCTTTCCATTGTATGAAGACCAATGGCATAGACTTGGGTCACATGGAAATTAAGTTTTGAGAAAAAAATGTTGAAAATAGAATATGTAAAGGTCATTGACTTCTTAAAGGTCTCTAGAGGCGAAATACAAAATGCCTCCATATCTTTCTCATGGCATGAAGAATCTTCCTCATGGCAGAAAAAAAATCAAATTGCGAATTTTTATGCTTTTATCACCAAGTGCACAATTTTGTCATGAGGCTGTGCCGCTCCACCAAGAAGAAACCAAATCACAACAAGAACAATGTTCCGCAACTTAAAGCAACTATACCATCAAGTGACTCAGACATATACACGACAATGTTATTAAAATGGATTACCTCTGAAAGGCCAGTGGATTGTCTCTCAGCGTCTGCTCACCGTCTGCCCCGCCTCTGTAGTAATGCCAGATAGCGTCCGACACCCTCGCCTTGAGGTACGGCTCAAAGTCCTCAACACAGACTGGTTCGGACGCCATGATCATCGTTCACAACCCCCTACTTTTTCACGAATCTGACAGCGAAGTGAACGCGATGAGGCAAAATTATTATCACAATATGGCGGAGGCTATTCAACTTGATGCTGATAACGCTGCCAACTGGTATTTTGCCGAGTTGCGCTGTTATGTACAAATGTACTTTATTCTATACACTAAAAATGAGTCATATCTCACCTTATTTTTACGCTAAATAAAAAACACAAATGCCACGTTTCTGGATATAAATGACACTTTTGACAAGAGATTTCGCAGTCAAGGTGACCGGTCAAAACTGCCCATTTGAAAAGCAGGAGGTCAAAGTGTAGACCCAAACAGTGCTTACTAGCTGCAGATCTATATATCATTGAATGGCCGACATTCAAGTCACCGTGAGTACACTGGAATTAACAAATTCTGAAACCTACATGTACATGTACAGCCTGAACCAATACGTTTAAAGCCGAGTAGGAATATACATGTACCTGCTACCTTGTGACAACACTTACATTCACTCGTCCACTGTGGTCCGAAGGCGTCAAGACCATGCAACACGAATGATAGTGTATATGAACTTTCAACAGGTTTCCGTCACTAACAAAAACAAGGAGTAGGCCTACACAAAATGTTAATTAACGTCAGCCATCCAGATCGAAATTCAGCTGCATAGTCGGCCCGTATATGTGTCGTGTTTACGCTTGACCGAACCTTGAACCTCAGCATTAAAGAAATGAACTTGTTATTGGATGTTTGTCGCCCTCACCCGACCGACCCCAAAATCTGGAAATATCCGGTCGGCTTTTTTGATACCATGATTAAGGATCTCGTTAAAAAAAAAGGTACATGTAGGCCCACGTAAATGGTAGTGCAGTTCGAACTTACCGTATTCTGTATGAATGGTGTCAATGGAGGTCAAGACGTATAGTGGGACATGTATGGTGTAACGCACTTCCAGCATACATATGGATGTGTATTTGTACATACACTATTCGGTCGTGAACTAGAGCTAGTCATTGTATCGCACGCACATCATGTACATGAACACAGCATACTGGATTCGCACGTGTATGTTGCATGCAGGGAACTGGTTAATTGCGATAGAATCCTTGAGAAAACATTGGTCAAAAGTATCACGTTTGCATATGGAAAATTAACCAAAACTAACTATTTAAAAAATCACGACTCGATCAACGACAAAATGAAATCACCTCTGAAAAATATGGTTCTTCATAGTTCCCGCTATTCACTTGGTACAACTACACCCTATGGCACTTTCTAGTAAGTTTGGAGCAATTTCATTTTTGACCAAATTTACAAATATTACAAGGGGTTAACCTTACTTTTGTAATGAAATTTGGTGCCCCCCCCCAAAGAAAAAAATTTCTTCCTCAAGATATATCCATCCCGAAATCGAGATGGAATGTATTTGAGGGTCCAAAAGAGTCTTTCTAGTATGTATGGAGCAATTTCATTTTTTGACCGAAATTGACAAAAATTGCAAGGGGTTAACCTTATTTTTTTTTTTATGAAATTTGGCCCGCAAAAAAAATGAATTTCTTCTTAATAACTTATCCATCCCCAAATCGAGGTGGAATGTGTTTGAGAGTCCTTTAAGAATCTTTCTAGGAAGTTTGGAGCACTTTCATTTATTGACCAAATTTGACAAAAATTGCAAGTGGTTAACCTTACTTTTTTTTGTGAAATTTGGCCCGCAAAAAATGAATTTCTTCCTAGTACCTTATCCATCCTCAAATAGAAGTGGAATGTGTTTGAGGGTCTTTTAAGAGCTTTTCTAGTAAGTTTGGACGAATTTCATTTTTTGACCAAAATTTACAAAAATTATAAGGGGTTAACCTTACTTTTTTGTGAAATTTGGCCCGCAAAAAATGAATTTCTTCTTAATGACATATCCATCCCCAAATCAAGGTGGAATGTGTTTGAGGGTCCTTTAAGAGTCTTTCTAATAAGTTTGGAGCAATTTCATTTTTTGACCACAATTGACAAAAATTGCAAGGGGTTAACCTTACTTTTTTGTGAAATTTGGCCCTAAACCCCCCCCCCCCGAATTTCTTTCTAGTTACTTATCCATCCCCCAATTGAAGTGGAATGTGTTTTGGGGTCCTTTAAGAGTCTTTCTAGTGAGGTTGGAGCAATTTCATTTTTTTGACCAAAAATTATCAAAATTGCAATGGGTTAACTTTACTTTTTTATGAATTTGACCCCCACCAAAATGAATTTCTTCCTTTTAATTATCCATCCCCAAATCGCAGTGGAACGTGTTTGAGGGTTCTTGAAGAGTCTTTCTAGTAAGGTTTGAGCCATTTCAATTTTTGACCAAAATTGACAAAAACTAAAAGGGGTTAGCCTTACTTTTTTATGAAATTTGGTCCCAAAGAAATGGAATTCTTCTTAAAGACATATCCATCCAAAAATCGAGGTGCAATGTGTTGGAGGGTCCTTTAAGAGTCTTTCTGGCAAGTTCGGAGCAATTTCATTTTTTGACCAAATTTACAAAAATTACAAGGGGTTAACCTTATATTTTTTATGAAATTTTGACCGCTAAAAATGAATTTCTTCTTAATGACTTATCCATTCCCAAACTGAGGTGGAATGTGTTTGAGGGTCCTTTAAGAGTCTTTTTAGTCAGTTTGGAGCAATTTCATTTTTTGACCAAAATTGAGAAAAATTGCAAGGGGTTAACCTTACTTTTTTATGAAATTTGGCCCGCTAAAAATGAATTTTTTCCTAGTACCTTATCCATTCCCAAATCGCAGTGGAATGTGTTTGAGGGTCTTTTAAGAGTCTTTCTAGTCAGTTTTGAGCAATTTCATTTTTTGACCAAAATTGACAAAAATTGAAAGGGGTTAACCTTATATTTTTTTGAAATTCTGCCCGCTTAAAATGAATTTCTTCTTAATGACTTATCTATTCCCAAACCGAGGTGGAATGTGTTTGAGGGTCCTTTAAGAGTCTTTTTAGTCAGTTTGGAGCAATTTCATTTTTTGACCAAAATTGACAAAAGTTGCAAGGGGTTAGCCTTTCTTCTTTAAGAAATTTGGCCCCCAAAAAGATAAAATTCTTCTTTATTACATATCTATCCCGAAATCAAGTTGGAATGTCTTGGAGGGTCTCTTCGGAGTCTTTTCATAAAGTTTGGGCCAATTTCATTTTTTTGACCAAAATTTACAAAAATTGCAAGGGGTTAACCTTACTTTTTTGTAAAAAATTTGGCCCGCAAAAAATGAATTTCTTCCTAGTTACTTATCCATCCCCAAATCGCAGTGGAATGTGTGTGAGGGTTCTTTAAGAATCTTTTTTAGAAACTTTGGGGCAATTTAATTTTTTGACCAATATTGACAAAAAAAAAAAAACCTTACTTATTTATGAAATTTGGCCCGCTCAAAATGAATTTTTTCCTAGTACCTTATCCATTCCCAAATCGCAGTGGAATGTGTTGGAGGGTCTTTTAAGAGTCTTTCTAGTCAGTTTTGAGCAATTTCATTTTTTGACCATTTTGACCAAAATTGACAAAAATTGCAAGGGGTTAACCTTACTTTTCTGTAAAAAATTTGGCCCGCAAAAAAATGAATTTCTTCCTAGTTACTTATCCATCCCCAAATCGAAGTGGAATGTGTTTGAGGGTTCTTTAAGAATCTTTTTAGAAACTTTGAGGGGTTAACCTTATATTTTTTTGAAATTCTGCCCGCTTAAAATGAATTTCTTCTTAATGACTTATCTATTCCCAAACCGAGGTGGAATGTGTTTGAGGGTCCTTTAAGAGTCTTTTTAGTCAGTTTGGAGAAATTTCATTTTTTGACCAAAATTGACAAAAATTGCAAGGGGTTAGCCTTATTTCTTTAAGAAATTTGGCCCCCCTCTTTATTACATATCTATCCCGCAATCAAGTTGGAATGTCTTGGAGGGTCTCTTCGGAGACTTTTAATTAAGTTTGGGGCAATTTCATTTTTTGACCAAAATTAACAAAAATTGCAAGGGGTTAACCTTGCTTTTTTGTAAAAAATTTGGCCGTCAAAAAAATGAATTTCTTCCTAGTTACTTATCCATCCCCAAATCGAAGTGGAATGTGTTTGAGGGTTCTTTAAGAATCTTTTCAGAAACTTTGGGGCAATTTAATTTTTTGAACAAAATTGACAAAAATTGAAAGGGGTTAACCTTATATTTTTTTTGAAATTCTGCCCGCTAAAAATGAATTTCTTCTTAATGACTTATCTATTCCAAAACCGAGGTGGAATGTGTTTGAAGGTCCTTTAAGAGTCTTTTTAGTCAGTTTGGAGCAATTTCATTTTTTGACCAAATTTGACAAAAATTGCAAGTGGTTAGCCTTACTTTTTTGTCAAATTTGGCCCGCAAAAAAAATTAATCTCTCCCTAGTACCTTATCCATTCCCAAATCGAAGTGGAATGTGTTTGAGGGTCTTTTAAGAGCCTTTCTAGTAAGATTGGAGCAATTTTATTTTTTGAACAAAATTGACAAAAATTGAAAGGGGTTAACCTTATATTGTTTGAAATTCTGCCCGCTAAAAATGAATTTCTTCTTAATGACTTATCTATTTCCAAACCGAGGTGGAATGTGTTTGAGGCTCCTTTAAGAGTGTTTTTAGTCAGTTTGGAGAAATTTCATTTTTTGACCAAAATTGACAAAAATTGCAAGGGGTTAGCCTTACTTCTTTAAGAAATTTGGCCCCCAAAAAGATAAAATTCTTCTTTATTACATATCTATCCCGCAATCAAGTTGGAATGTCTTGGAGGGTCTCTTCGGAGTCTTTTCTTTCAGTTTGGGGCAATTTCATTTTTTGACCAAAATCAACAAAAATTGCAAGGGGTTAACCTTACTTTTTTGTAAAAAATTTGGCCCGCAAAAAAATGAATTTCTTCCTAGTTACTTATCCATCCCCTAATCGCAGTGGAATGTGTTTGAGGGTTCTTTAAGAATCTTTTTAGAAACTTTGGGGCAATTTAATTTTTAGACCAAAATTGACAAAAATTACAAGGGGTTAACCTTACTTTTTTATGAAATTTGGCCCGCTAAAAATGATTTTTTTCCTAGTAACTTATCCATTCCCAAATCGCAGTGGAATGTGTTTGAGGGTCTTTTAAGAGTCTTTCTAGTCAGTTTTGAGCAATTTCATTTTTTGACCAAAATTGACAAAAATTGAAAGGGGTTAACCTTATATTTTTTTGAAATTCTGCCCGCTAAAAATGAATTTCTTCTTAATGACTTATCTATTCCCAAACCGAGGTGGAATGTGTTTGAGGGTCCTTTAAGAGTCTTTTTAGTCAGTTTGGAGAAATTTCATTTTTTGACCAAAAGTGACAAAAATTGCAAGGGGTTAGCCTTACTTCTTTAAGAAATTTGGCCCCAAATATGATAAATTTCTTCTTTATTACATATCTATCCCGAAATCAAGTTGGAATGTCTTGGAGGGTCTCTTCGGAGTCTTTTCATTAAGTTTGGGGCAATTTCATTTTTTGACCAAAATTCATCAAAATTGCAAGGGGTTAACCTTACTTTTTTATGAAATTTGGCCCGCTAAAAATGATTTTTTTCCTAGTTACTTATCCTTCTCCAAATCGCAGTGGAATGTGTTTGAGGGTTCTTTAAGAATCTTTTTAGTAACTTTGGAGCAATTTTATTTTTTGACCAAAATTGACAAAATTACAAGGGGTTCCCCTTACTTTTTTTATG